AATCAAACAGCTTTAAAGTCGTGTTTTTACTTTGAAATTTGAAAGTTGAAGTGTTTTCAAACAATAATTTTGTTTTTCATTTCTGTTACTTTGCGCTCATTTACTTTTTGCGTTCATTATACACAAGTTTGATTTTTGGCAATTTGAATTTTGTTCATTTCCTTTGTAAAACGGAAAGAAAACTACACCATCGAACAGCAGAAGTGTAAAGTTATTGAAGAACGTGATGGACTTCTGGTTTCGGAAATGGAATTTATTTTTCAGGTATCTCAGCGGAATAAAAACTTTGCCTATTGATTCATTTTTTTTTTCAAATTGAATTGATTTTATCATAAAAGTGTCAATCATAAATTGTTCTTATAATTCACTTAGCTTCAAAACCGCATATTTTCATTTTGAAAGTTAAAGTTGTTCAAAAAATAAATCCGTTTTTTCTTTCTGTTTCTTTGCGTTCATTGACTCATTCCCAAATGTCTGTCGAGGCTATATTTTTTGTTACAAATTGAGGGTTTGAGTTTATTTTGCTATAATGTTTTGGACTTTTGCGACTTGGTATTTGTTCTATTTTGTTAGTTGTGATTTCATTTCATTGCTCCATTTGTTGTTTTGTTAATAAAAAAAGTTTTTGAGCACTTCTTGGTACCAAGGTTAGGTGGAAAGAAAAATGTGTATTTGTTTGTATGATTTTTGTCATTTCGGCTTATGCAACTAATTTTTAATAATAGCTGAATAATCCGCTACATATGTTCGACCGTTTTTTAGAAATTTTTTAATTCATCTTGAAAAGTACCCAATCAAATCTGAGATGAAGATTTCAATCGAAAGAAGCGGTTGCGCGAATTTTTCTTACAGAAGTGACTACTCCTTAATTCTTTGTTAGAAAAAGGTTATAAACAACAGGTTGGCGAAGTCCAGTTTGTGAAATTAAACATTTCGTCCCGCATCAGTATAACAAACTCAAAAACATCAAATACGTACCTACAACTTTAGCTTCGCCTCTGTGTCTTAAGTTTAGTTCATTTCCTTTGTAAAAAGAAACACAAAGTACACTATCGAACAGCAAAGTTTAAAGCTGACGAAGAACGTGATCGACTTCTAGTATTGTCAATAGAATTTGATTTTCAGATATCTCGGCGGAGTAAAAACTTTACCTTTTGATGTAGTTTTTTCAAAATCAGTTGATTTATTTTTCATAAAAGTGTCAATCATAAATTGTTTTTGTAAATCAAACAGTTTTAAAGTCGTCTTTTTACTTTGAAATTTGAAAGTTGAAGTGTTTTCGAACAATTATTTTGTTTTTCATTTCTGTTACTTTGCGCTCATTTACTTTTTGCGTTCATTATACACTCAAGTTTGATTTTTGGCAATTTGAATTTTGTTCATTTCCTTTGTAAAACGGAAAGAAAACTACACCATCGAACAGCAGAAGTGTAAAGTTATTGAAGAACGTGATGGACTTCTGGTTTCGGAAGTGGAATTTATTTTTCAGGTATCTCAGCGGAATAAAAACTTTGCCTATTGATTCATTTTTTTTTTTCAAATTGAATTGATTTTATCATAAAAGTGTCAATCATAAATTGTTCGTATAATTCACTTAGCTTCAAAACCGCATATTTTCATTTTGAAAGTTAAAGTTGTTCAAAAAATAAATCCGTTTTTTCTTTCTGTTTCTTTGCGTTCATTGACTCATTCCCAAATGTCTGTCGAGGCTATATTTTTTGTAACAAATTGAGGGTTTGAGTTTATTTTGCTATAATGTTTTGGACTTCTGCGACTTGGTATTTGTTCTATTTTGTTAGTTGTGATTTCATTTCATTGCTCCATTTGTTGTTTTGTTAATAAAAAAAGTTTTTGAGCACTTCTTGGTACCAAGGTTAGGTGGAAAGAAAAATGTGTATTTGTTTGTATGATTTTTGTCATTTCGGTTTACGCAACTAATTTTTAATAATAGCTGAATAATCCGCTACATATGTTCGACCGTTTTTTAGAAATTTTTTAATTCATCTTGAAAAGTACCTTATCAAATCTGAGATGAAGATTTCAATCGAAAGAAGCGGTTGCGCGAATTTTTCTTACAGAAGTGACTACTCCTTAATTCTTTGTTAGAAAAAGGTTATAAACAACAGGATGGCGAAGTCCAGTTTGTGAAATTAAACATTTCGTCCCGCATCAGTATAACAAACTCAAAAACATCAAATACGTACCTCCAACTTTAGCTTCGCCTCTGTGTCTTAAGTTTAGTTCATTTCCTTTGTAAAAAGAAACACAAAGTACACTATCGAACAGCAAAAGTTTAAAGCTGACGAAGAACGTGATCGACTTCTAGTATTGTCAATAGAATTTGATTTTCAGATATCTCGGCGGAGTAAAAACTTTACCTTTTGATGTAGTTTTTTCAAAATCAGTTGATTTTTTTTTCATAAAAGTGTCAATCATAAATTGTTTTTGTAAATCAAACAGTTTTAAAGTCGTCTTTTTACTTTGAAATTTGAAAGTTGAAGTGTTTTCAAACAATTATTTTGTTTTTCATTTCTGTTACTTTGCGCTCATTTACTTTTTGCGTTCATTATACACTCAAGTTTGATTTTTGGCAATTTGAATTTTGTTCATTTCCTTTGTAAAACGGAAAGAAAACTACACCATCGAACAGCAGAAGTGTAAAGTTATTGAAGAACGTGATGGACTTCTGGTTTCGGAAGGGGAATTTATTTTTCAGGTATCTCAGCGGAATAAAAACTTTGCCTATTGATTCATTTTTTTTTTCAAATTGAATTGATTTTATCATAAAAGTGTCAATCAAAAATTGTTCTTATAATTCACTTAGCTTCAAAACCGCATATTTTCATTTTGAAAGTTAAAGTTGTTCAAAAAATAAATCCGTTTTTTCTTTCTGTTTCTTTGCGTTTATTGACTCTTTCCCAAATGTCTGTCGGGGCTATATTTTTTGTAACAAATTGAGGGTTTGAGTTTATTTTGCTATAATGTTTTGGACTTTTGCGACTTGGTATTTGTTCTATTTTGTTAGTTGTGATTTCATTTCATTGCTCCATTTGTTGTTTTGTTAATAAAAAAGTTTTTGAGCACTTCTTGGTACCAAGGTTAGGTGGAAAGAAAAATGTGTATTTGTTTGTATGATTTTTGTCATTTCGGCTTACGCAACTAATTTTTAATAATAGCTGAATAATCCGCTACATATGTTCAGGTTTATAATATCAATGTTATAAAAAAATTTTTAGACAGTTAGTGGGCAGACCTCAGCTTTTTTCCTATTGTTAACAAGTGTATAAATCATCAATCTTTTCCTGTGCGTTCATTTCTGTCGTTGATAGAAACTAATAGTTTTTGCTTTCATTTCAAAGTTAGCTATAGAACAGGTTGAATATAGCTCTAATTTTACTTCGAAACTTGTATTGTGGCGACCACTCGTGTAAGAGTTGGAAGTAACTATATTGTAAGATGATTTTGATCATAGCATTTTATTACCTCGATAAACGGTCAAAGGGGTTCAAGTGTGATATCATTCAAGAGACCTTTCACGCGCCATTCTGATTTTAAAAAATGTTGGTTCGATATCTTTGTTTTTCAGACAGGATTACAGTGCTCAAATAGCTGATTAACAAACTCTTTGCCCAATTAATAAAATTAATATTCATTCCCTCTCCTCAGGATCCAAGAAATTAAAAAAAAATCCATAACCTATTCCCAGGAATCAAGTTAAAAAAGATTTAGAAGGGAACTCCAATTTTTCGAGTTCTTTAATTGGCTTTTTTGGCCTTTTTCATAACGCAACTTTAGTTTGTAACTCTTTCGCCTTTGATTTTCAAACTTGAGAGAAATCTGAAATCGCTCTATTATCCAAAATGAAGTTTTTTTGTTTGAAATTTTTGATTTTGTTTTTTGTTGCTCTTTTTCTATTTTTTTGCTTCATTTTCCATTTTTTATCAAGCCTGTACGCTCACCTTATTAGCTCGGAATTAGACCAAAAATCAAAAATCCGGTTTTTCTCGATTTTAAATGTCCAAAATCTCAACTGAAAGCGCTTTATGTGATATATAATTCAAAAAATTTCAGCAAAGTTTTTTTGAAAAATTATTAAATTGTTTTTACACTTTTTTTTCGTTTTTCTAGCCATTTTTCTATAAAAACTGTTTTCCAATTGGCCTTTTTGATTATGACTGTCGCATTCACCTTATTTCTATTTGGTTCAGATTTTTCTATCACACCACACAGAAAAAAACGGCACTCATTTGAAAAAAAAATATATTTTTCAAGACTATGGTCGAAACATTCTGTGCTACGTGCACAGTAGCCGGCTATCCTGGATTATAATTACGTATATTCGATGGTTCAAACCTTTTTTCTTTATAATTTATCTCATATTCGTATTTTTTTGCCTATTGTTATTAACTTTATTCGATCCAATTTGATAGCTATCTCACGTATCGTTATAAAGCTCTTTTAGTCGCTATTGTTGCCTTCCATCGGTGTGAAAGAACCCGCTCTGATATTTTTCTGTTAAGACTAATTTACGACGACGAAGGAGGATTAGAGTATTAGTGTACTCCTAATCAGAGTTAACTGATGTTTAAGAGTCAATGAACTAAGTGAAGACACTTATTTATGTCTTGTTTTATGTCATTAAATGTGTTTAAAAATTGTTCGCACTCATATTTGAGTTTTCGATGTCTGATTTTTCTCATTTTGTTTTCGAGGTCTTATTAAGTTTCATATTAAAGGTATTTGATGCCCGGTTGATTTTTTCACCTTCAAAAACACCTTCCAATCATTTTTATACTAATTTTACCGAAAGTATAATGTGTCCTGAAACTTTCCATGACTAATTTTTTTTGGTTAATTAGATGAGTTTTTCATGATGAGTTTTTATCAGTTAGATTTTTTGTGCACCTTAATAGTTTCGTTATATTTCCTTTTCACGCAAGTGGTCCTTTGTTTAAACCCTGTTGAAAATTGATAGGATGTGATTTGTTAATTGTTTTTTCAGATTGAGTGGAATGGGGATAAAGGAGCAGGCGTTCGGGTTTATTGTGTTCCGATGGAAACAGGGGGCTGCTGCTGCTTCCAAAGTGCCAGAATTTCTCCTTCTCAAAGCAGTTGAGGGTCACTGGAGTCCACCAAAAGGTATTGAGATAGTGGATATCTAGGCTCTTAACTATCCCCCCTTTGCAAAAGGGGGTGGGGGTGGGGGGAGATTCGTTACAAGGTACAAAATTAAGGCACGAACAATTAAGAATGAACTACTCTCGAGATGAAATGAATACTTTCTATCTGGATCTCAGGAAAGCTTATGATACCCTTGATCATAAATTACTTCTGATTGAACTTGAAGCCTATGATATACAGGTAATTTTTTAAAAGTGTTTTAAAAATTATTTAAGTGGCCGGATTCAGCGCGTTGAAGTTAATGGAGCATTTATTATTTTAGGCCCTTTTCTTTTTTATTATTTATATAAATTATCTTCCATTATGCAAATCAGTAAAGTCATTGATTGCTGATAGCATTAACTTAACGGCCAGTGGTTGCCAGATTACAAATATAAGAGAAGATATAGATAACCTTGACAGCTGGCTTCACGCCAACAAGTTAGTAATAAATTTTGATATAACAATTTAATTGAATATAAAATGTGCTTTCCATTTTCGATTTAATCTTAATTTTTCTCAAATAACATACAACCAAAGTTCAAATATCTAGGTATTCATATTCATTATAAATGTTCATTCCAAACTCATATTGGATTTGTTAAAATGAGACCCGGTAAACTGTGTGGAGTTATATCAAAATTAAGGCACTATGTACCAAGGTCTCAATTGATAGAATACTACAGAAGCAATGTTGTTTTAATAATTAAATATGGTGTCCTGGTTTACGGCTATTGTTGTCAAAGTTTACGCAAGTGTTTGTTTTTTCTGCAAAAGAAAATTAAGTTTTTTTTTGTAAACGAAGTGAGAGCTGCAATGACATCTTTCTCAAATTTATTATCTGTTTTTGAATTGCATTTTTGCTAACTACTCAAGTTTGTAGAGCGTTCAACCAAAAGTTTACCTTCAAATGATTTCCTAAGCAATCTATTCTCTTTTGATACAAATCAAAAACGAACCCAGGAAGTCAAAATTCAAAAGGAAAGGGGAGCAACTATGTAAGAAAAAGCTTGAGCGTTTTCTATTCGATATCGTGCTTGTTAACTTCTGGAAAAAATTAAATTTTCAGAAGCAAAAACTAACTTCAAATTAAATCATTTTAAGAATCAGAAATTAACGTTAAAAAAATCTTAAAATAAAACCTGTATTTTTTGGAAAATGATGACTTAGGGAAATTTTTCGGTAACCTATAAAATAATTTTATTTTTGTTTTCCTTTTTAAACAGTAATCAGAGGTCAAACGCTACCAGCATTTATTTATAGGCTGTATTTTACTTGATAAATTATGAAGCGTCAGAAGCTTCCAGTATAGGAGATATGGCCATTTATTGATTTTTTTTTCAAAAAACCATCTTTTAATAAAATTTTTGAAGAAAAATTCTCACAAAAAAATCTCTTTCCCTTTGAATTAAGTTTTTAGAGTGAAGATACGCTTGTTCCATTTCAGCACATTTTTTTATACAAGAAATCTGAAACACAGCATGGGAAGGAACAAAAAATAAACAGAAAAATAATGTTTTTTCCTTCATTATTTTTTGCCCTTTTATTAACTTGTTCCTTTATACCACTAATTTGTTTGTTGAATAGTTAATTTTCTGTAGATGAACACTCATTTTCCACAAAATGAAATTTCTTGAATTCAGTTTCAAAAAAAGTGTTTTTTTAATGATTTTTTTGCTTTTAAGTCTGGATTATTCAATTAGGGTAGATGTTAGAGGACCTGACCGTTCCGTTGCCTATCCTCTTCGACTCTCATCAGTTGACTTAGTATAATATTTGAATTAAAGTGTTCATTCTGAAAAAATGTGGACTTGAGAAATATTCTTTTTCTTTTTTTCTTTCAAAATTCACATATGTTTAACCGTTGAAGTAGATCTTAATAGGGGTGGCAATCCTTTACTAGGTATGAATGAGGCAAATAGTTAACCAGATTCCTGACTTTATACGACTTCTGTGTTTGATGGAAGTTGTAGTGAAGCTTTATTTCAATCATATGGTTGACGGTTTGAAATTCGACCTTTGATTGCTCAATTAAGTAAAAGAAGAAATTTGAAGGTTTCTGCGGCAACGAAAAACTATTCGTCAAAAACACAAAACCTAACTAACCCCAGGTATTCCCAAGACTGTTTGATGGGGAATATAGGGAAAAGTAGGTAAAAGACCTCTCCGGCGTTCGTTTTTCTAATCGTGGACAAGACTTTTCCCGTAAACAGTTTTCCTACAAATCTGTGAGCAACTGACCGCATTTCATTATGAACCCCCTCTTGATTTTGGAGCTGGTATTTTGTGTCGAGGTAAAACTTCTGCTTGAGGCTACACGGTATTGAGTTTGATTCCTGCCGGGGCCCTTTTTTGGTTATTGTTTTTTCGGCCTTTTGGGTTTCGGCTGAAGCTCTGTTGGCTTAGTTTCCGAATGAGAAATTGACGACTATTTGTTTGAGTGCGTGTGCTCCAAGATTCAGTAAAAAATTTAATAATTCTTCCAATGCGGGTTTTTCTCCGCACAAATTTGTAGGTAGATTTTCTTAATGGAGCGTCGGCTTAAATTCGGTCGGCTCAATTATGTGGTTTTTTTCTTTTCATTGCCAGTTGATGGATCCTAGTTGAGACGCTGGGTTTAACTAGCCCGAAATTCTATAAAATCTGAAAACTAGTTTTTTAGTTTTGATTGTTTTAAACTCATACTTTGGAGAAATTTTTTTTTTTTGAAATGTCTTGATTCATTCTTTTTCGCCATTAAATTACTTAATGTTCTTGAATGCAGTACGGTGGTTTGGTTCCAGGTCACCCCGAGGGCAACGAGACTGGATTGGAGTCTGCCTACAGAGAAACTGAGGAGGAGGCGGGATACAAAAAACACCAGCTCAAGGTCTACGAGGACTTCGAGTTAGTGCTTATAATAAATATGCCTTCAAATATACGATGTATAGAAAACTAACTATGGTGGTAAAAAAAAACGTAAAATAATCAGGGTTCCGGGTGTGGGGAAAAGTTTATTTTTGGCCGGAAAAGGGCTGTTTTTGGTGGCCTAAAGTTTTTTTTTTAAATGTAAGAACACAAATCTTGAAATTGCGTCTTATAACGCATAAACCAAGACTTGCGCGTTTTTCATGTTTTTTTTCTGACAATCACCCAGTTTTTGCTTCAAATGCTGAAAAACTTTATAGGATTATATCCGCCCATAATCGAATTTGGCATATTTATTTTTTCTATAAACTCCCGTTTATGGTTGTTTTTTAGGGCAAATTAACGCAAAATTAAATGTTTTAGTCTACATTTTTTTACTTACTAAAGAGCGAAATAAAGAAAAGTTATGTAATTTTTAATTTGGTCAAAATTGCGGCGGTTCTCCGAGTGAGCTGAACAGCTGTTGGTATGTCGGTAGGCTGTCTTTTCGGATTAAGGGTCTTAAGCTAGCCTCAATCTACCTACATATGCACACGAGCACATCTAAGGTAAACTCAAAGGACGAAGGGTTCTTGTATAGTTATTCGCGTTCATTTTTGATTTCTGAACTAAAATAATGAAATTGCCGTGATTAGACGATGTAGAGCTACAGCTATTACTTCCAGTATTATTGAGCTGCAGCTGTTTTAATGATAATCCTTTCAAATGAAGCTCGTATATCTTATTTAATTAAAAAATAAAAGTTGTGTATGGCCACAGCGCATAGATGATTTTGTATCTCTTGAGATTGTTTTGAAGTTAGTTCTTTATGTCATTTCAGGAGACATTTGCATTATGACGTAAGAAGTAGAGTGGACCCTACTAGTACTGTTCGAAAAAGGAGCTCGTATTGGCTAGCCAGACTTCTCAATCCAGCCGACCCTGTTTTGATCTCTGACGAACACACTATATTTGTGTGGCAAGAGTTAGCTGATGCTATTAAGACAGCCCAGTTTGAAGACCTGCAAGCGTTGTTAACTGATTCTGCCGATTTCATCTCAAAACTTGAAGAATCATGATTGATAGAAAACTTGTTTAAAATTATATGCTGGTCAAAACTTAATCATATCCTATTTCTGTTCGTATAGTTAAATTTTAGCAATTGAAGAATGGCTGTTGAAGTGATTAGTTGCAGGTTTAAAGATATATTCTTACGATTTGAGATGTAAGTGACGTTTTTTTTCAGACCTCAATGTCAAACAATTTCAGCGCAATTTTGCGATGGAGTAAAATTATACAAATGGATTATGCACGCTACGTTAAGTTTTAAACTTCTGGCGCGCAACGGATTGATTGAAATATGGGTGATAAGTCAGGAAATAGAAATAGTGTATAAAAAAACGAAAAGTGCGAGACATATCAAAACTGAAAATGCTTTATTCAATAACGTAATCACAGTAATTGAAATCGGATTTCTCCATTATGACAACTTTTTACCGTTAAACAAAAATTCTATTCAAAATTAAACCGAATTAACCCTTGCAAAGAAATCTTCAGTTCTGAAACTATTGTTCTAGCTCAGAGAAAAGTAATTCTTTAAATATCGGTTCATTTTTGCCGCATCGGTTTACTGATCGCTTCCCTAAATATGTTAGATTTGTTTTAGAGTAACATTTCATTTAATTTGAGGCTAAGTGAATGTGAAGGTGTCAGATATCATTGAAGCGCATACTTTCAGTTAAGAAGTTTGTATGTGAAATTGAAGCAAACAATAAACACTCAAACTGCTCAAATATTTCCTATCTGTTGTTCTTTTTATGATCAAATTGAGCCTAACAAAATTTATGTTAATCTCCTGAAAATTTTTTTTCGAGCTCTTGCTTCTGATTTCGCTCGGCTTTTATCTGAAATTTATGACATGAAGTCTGATCTGTACAAAGGCATCGATAATTTTCCCGTCTTTTTGAGAGGCGGGGTATAACCAAATAAGGGGCTCCGGTGAACTTAATGAAGTCCCCAGTCGATTTAACTGCACCATCCGCTGTTGCTTTCAGATTCATATTTTATCCAAAAATGGGAGTAACTTTCGGGTCCTGATTTAACTTAATTAGCCATATCGCAGAGGGCTTCGTTTGATAGGGTAGTTAACCTGACAATTGCCACGACTGATGCGTGAACAGTTTATTTTTTCTCCTTTGATTCGCCAGTGGTAAATTCAAACCTGTCTCCCAAAATAAGATTGCAATACGTAGCATAGAATTGATCAGCCTGAGAATTGCTTGGATACGTGGAAAAGGTATGTAAAAAGTGAAATGCTTTTTTTTAAACATTGGCAAGAAGAGTCAAAAATTGATAAAATGCACGACACGTTTTCAGCGTCATAATTAAATTAAATGAAAACATGGCACTGCAACCAAACTAGAGATAATATCTTCTAGGATCTAGTAGATTTGATCAAAATGCTGTAAAATAAAACTGGATTTGGTAAAAAATTATGTGGATTTCAAAATATTTACAGTCTCAAATTCGGGTACTAGAATTTTTATATGGTAAATAACAATGCATCTTTGTGAACTTTGAATCAATAAAATTGGCGTGAATGCTGTTTGGTTCAATGAGATTCAAAAAAGATTTCCTATTTTTCCCGCCATTAAAATTCGAGTACACCGAAAGAATTCAAATCAGCAAGTTTCAAGCTAACTTCCGCTTCGCCTATCTTCCGATTAAACTCTTATGTTTGCATCTAATTGAATAAATTTTCGTCTGGTTTGATATTTTCGAGAAGCAATTTGAGTCATAGTCGAAAAAGTAATTCAAGTCTTGAAACTTCAGCCATTTTTAATTATTGAAAGAAACCTCAATCAAATTTCTAAGGAGTTTACGGACTGCGTTTGCTCTGGGTTATTTCATTTTTCGGGTTTTTAAGCTGCCATTTTTGATCATTTTTTTCAATCATCTAATTTTATTAATGTCCGAAGCAACTGCGAGTTTTTTTTATTTCGTACAAATGGTTTTACTTCGTTCACAGGAATCGTCTCTTACTTGAAGCATTTCGTAAAAGTTTGCTGGAAAACGTTTTATGAGCATGTTTGTATGTTAAAATCCCGCTCTAGTTGAAGATTATTTTTGTGTTATGAAAGTGCAATTACTAGTTAACCATCTTTTTAGTTATCTTCGGTTTGTTGAACTATTTTCAAAGTTTTAAATATGAAAATTTGCTGGCTACCGTTTTGTAAGTTATAAAGAAATTACTCTACTAAATAATAATTTCCTTGTTGTTCCGACTTTCGTAACGAAAAAACGGAAAATTTGTGCTCGGGGTGGGTTTTTTTCAGACAAATTTTGACTTTTTAACTAGCCTTTAAGACGGAATTTTTAAATATCATTTAAAAGTTATTGTTGTCTTGAGCTTAAATTTGAAAAGATATTTCACCTGTGATCATTTTTGTAAAGTTATGAGGTTTCAAAGTTTGCCATTTTGGCCAATTTGGGAAACTTAACATGCGATATAATTGGCGCTATTAACGCGTAAGCGGAGATTTAATCCGTCTTGGAAATCGTTCTAAATAGGTTGAAGGAAGCTTATTTGCCATAATTGATTTGTTACTAGGAGCGAAATCTATCACTTTGTACTTTATATTGCGTGTGGGGGGATGATACTTCACAAAAAATCTCAAAGTAAAAAAAATCGTTTTTTTTATTACATTTTTTTTCATGTCATTACTGCTACATAGACTTTAAGAGGCAGTCGGAACATTCGGAGCTTTGCCCTTACACAAGCAGTATTGTTATTTCTTTGGTTCATTTTTCTATTGTGCGCTGCTTTGTGGTTTCCAATTAGACTGATAATTATCAAGCAAACTAAAGCTATAAATCAGTATTCTGTTGAAGAGCTCAATTGCGCCGTGTTCCTATTGTACAGTTGGTTCAATACGATTGTAAAGTTAGCTTTTCAAGCGTAATTTTTTTACTTAGTCATTTAAGTAATGGTTTTATATATAGTTTCTTAAAATAGTTTTTGTTGGATTGTCTTTTCATATTTTTAGTAAAAGATCAAATCAATACAATTGGCATTACTGCCTTTTTTGTTCATTGACACTCAATATGGATTTATTATTTTTCGCTTTATTAAAATTCCAGTCTAAAGAAAGAATTCAAGTCAGTAATTTTAAAAACTTACTTTCTATTTGATCTATTTTTCGAATAAAATTTATATTTTAATATCTGGCCGATGAACTTCCTGTCAGCTAAAATTATATATTTTGGGGCACAAATAGAACCTTGCTCGAAGTGAATTGTTTTGATCCGGGAACTTCCGTTCTAAATGACAATTTTCGAAGCCAAAAAACTTGTTCGATAAGCACGGGGTTTGCAACAAGTACTAGACTTTTTTTTACTTGCAAATAACTTTGTTCACGATACTCATCCATCTCCTGGGCTCATTTATCTAAAAAAAATCGAAATAATAATCATAATAATCATAATAATAATCATAAAAATAATAAAAATAATATAAGAAATAAGATTGAATTAAATCCGCAAGGCGTGGCTTAGTTGCTCTGAGTCATTGATAACAAAGTTAGTAAAAGAAAGTTAAAAACCATGACTGTGGATAAACTGAGTACTTAAATGTTCGTAGTTTGTCAACCAATAACAGATTCAATTTCTTTCTAAAGATTACAGGTCCTTAAAAATGATCAAAGCCAGGCAAATCGTTCAATCTCACGAGGGTGTTTGACATTTCTGCGACACGGTAAAAATTTTCACAAAGTTTGCTACGTGTTATTAATGGCATTCTCAAAAACGTCATGTTTCCCGTTCGATTTGAATGGCCCTGATTCAAGTCAAACGGAAAAGACATTTTGAGAATGCCAATGATAACACGGAGCAAATTTTGTGAAATTTTTTTTTACCGTGTCGCAGAAATATCAAACACCCTCGCGAGATCGAACATTTTTTCCTGGCTGTGATCCTTTTCAAGAACTTGTAACATTTAGAAAAAATTTGAACCTGTTATTGGTTGACAAAGTACAAACATTTAAATACTCGATTTATCCAGAGTCATGGTTTTTAAGTTTATTTCACTAACTTTGTTTTCAATGACTAAAAGCAACTAATCCCCTCCTTGCGGGTCGAATGTTTTTTTTTTGTTTGCAAACTAGAGATCTTGTGCTTTTTCGGATTAATGTACGTCTGCATACTGTTGCCGGCTTAGTTCCACTGAAATTTTTTACTTGAAAATTCAGCTTCTTTCTAGCATTCTGAAAGCTCCTCGTATACTTTTTTTTAAATGGTGCACGTTATTTTGTTCCAGATATTTTGCTTCTTTCGATTGAAGCAGGCTGCTTGGTACTGCTGTTTCAGCACCGCGCACAAATTATATCCCTTTCTACTTGATATTGTTGTTGACAAATCAGAACTACTTTTTTTCTGATTTTCATTTTTTTGGTTTTGTTGAACTTTGTAGTAAATCACTTAAAAATTTAAAACTAGCTTAAATGTTTCGGGTTTTAACTTGATAATTTTAATTTTCCCCTTTTTCACGACACCCTTACGACCAACATTGTTCTAAAAACGCTGTAGTTTATACAAAAAGATCTACGAAGAAAAAATTAACCATAAAAATAACTAGAAACTTCCGTTAAAACTGCAGGTATTTATTACCTCTATTCTACAAATCGGGAAATTTTGGATCAGTTTTGGTTCAGAATTTTCCTAAATTCTTTTTCTAAAATGATCGCGTGATGACTATTTTAAAAAATTTTCAGACTTTGCTGCTGTGAGAAAAATTGTGTTGATCAAAAACAATCGGAAACTTTTGTTTTGTTGAGCAATTTATTGGAAGAAACGAGTAATCAAGTAACAAACAATAATTTTTGACTCTACATTTCAGTTTTACATTCTAAACTAACAATTTTGCGAAGAAAAATTATTTGGTATCTATATTTAATCCCAAAAAAACGTCAATGAATCAATTTAATAAAAATGATTGTTTCTAAGTATTTGTTTTTGACTGTTCTGTTTTGTAAATTAATGAATTTGAAGGACACTAAGCAAACAAATCTCTCCAAAAAAATGGCAGTGTTTTAAAAAGCAAGAAAAGTTCTCTCGGTTGACGGACCCAGAAGTTTTTCTAAAGGCGCCTTTGGCGGCAATATATACTATTTTTTAGGGGGGAGCGTGCGCCGAAAAAACGCGAGCTCGGAAAATCGTTTTGGTCGACCTAAAAAAAGTCGACAAAATTTTCGAAAACTTTTTGAAATTCCGCCCCCCTCGTAAAAAATCTTAGATCCGCCTCTGCGTACATTTTTTAACACTTAGTCTAGAAGCCTAGAACGGAAATAGTTTCTAAATTTGAAGTATGCAGCATTGTTATATCTATAATCTTAAGC